AAAATACAAAAGACACAAAAGTAGAAGCCAAGGTCTTCCTCACATGCATCCAGTTTTGTTCTGATGCGGTGTCCGAGACTGGGTTTGAAAAGAAAAGAATGGAGGAGAAAAGAAAAAGAAGAGGCTGATCCTCCTAGTCTCCAAAAAAATAAAAGAAAAAAGAGGAGGTCGAGAATTTGGCAAAAAGAAAGGGAAAACAAGTTTCAAGGTAACAACAATGTATGTATTTGGATGGAAAAAGAGGGGGAGGTCTCGACTTTTGGATGGCTTTTACTTGAGAACCCATAAGTGCTTCCGTCTGGAGTCATTTCTATAAGTACTATGGAAAATTTATGCAACTTAAACAATTCCTTTAGCCTACGAGCCCAGTCTACAATACAAATCTTTACTGTTACAATGACGCTATTTAACGTAGATTGATTTTCGGTTGATCAGTGTTATTTAGAGATAGAGAGATTTCCAAAAAAGGACATCCATTTCACTAATCTGATTAGGTGATCCCGAAGATTCAGTCGAGATTTCACCCAAAAGCAAAAAAGGGAAAAATCGCTCGGGAATTTCGGACACACACATCCACGCCCAGTTTTGATTCGGCCTAGAAAAACGAGAGTAGGGATGGAATTTTTGTGGGTCTAGGTCTAGAAGGGTCTAGAAAAAGTGTGATTATATGGGTAAGCTACTCTTAGAACTTGTAGAATGGCTATCGTATCATCCAATCAAATCTACAGTAGCCTTTACCTATTTTGGAACCAATGTAAACTGTGCTTGAAAGTCTATACTCTTCAATTGAATAGGTGAAAAGGTTAAAAATGAAATGTGCTTTGATAAAATGATCTTTATAACCGCTATTTATTTCTCTTATACCCATCGAGAGTATTATAAAGAGTTGACCTTGCAAGCTCTTCATATTGAGTGAGATTTTCTTGGAAAATGATGCGAATAAGTAAAAAAAACCCTGTGGCTTTGTGTTGATCTTGAGATCTCAAAAGTAAACAGAAAAGTGAACACTTTCCGAGGATTGACCATATCTCTATTTGAGTTGGTGGAAGATCTCGTGAATAGCACAAGAGGTTGTATCTCAGAAAATACAAGTATTTTTAGAGAAAGTTATTCTTGGGGATTTGTAGATGGAAAAGCCATGTGATCACTCAAAAAAAAGTGTAAAGATGTTTCCAAGAATTGCAAAATCATGTCGTTTTGCTGTTTGAAAGCTAAAGGGACTTATATTATAGGACTAAAAGGATTATACAGATTATACGGACTTGTGGAGTATTGAATATCCAGAAATTCATCCACAAGAGTATATGGTAGTGTCTACGAATATCTACAAGAATAAAAAGGTAAGACGCATACGGTAAACAGTAAACAGCTTAGTAAACAGCACACCAAATACGCGCTTGATATACGGTTTGGTATAGTATACGATAATTCACACTATAAAATAGGTAAGCGTGCAATGTGGACAATAGATCCCATGTAGAGTATATGATACTACTAAACTTGTATCGTAGTTAGGCTCATGCGATATTTGTGGATTTATCAAAACTAGGCATTAAGATAAAAACATGTTGTACTTGTATAAAAAGTAAGAGTTGAATCGACGCTAAATCCCCATAAAATTCAAGTATAATAGCGAAATATCTATCTATCGAAATCTCTATCGAAGTGATGAGGCTTTATTGCACCCCGGTAAACCATTGAAAATTTACATGAAAAGAGAATCAAGCTTTCGAGAAAGGGGACTGGTTATATTGAAATTGAGACAGACAGAGATAAATATACGAAATCCGACACAAATCTACAAAAAGTGGAATCACATTTTTGGAAAAAGGGGAAAAGGAAAAGCAACATTTCAAAGAATGGGAAAAGAGAGAAAGGCTTTTGTGAGATTACACGGGGATTTCACAGGGAATCCAAATCTCGGAATGGAGTTGGGGAGGAGGTTGACTCCGATGGGGAGAGTACCTTATACAACCCCTTCGGAAAGCCCACCGGTCAGTGCCAGTTTTCACCCACTTTCTTTCTGCCATTCATTGGGAACACTTTTTTTCACTTTCACCGCCACTAATCGCTTTCGATCAAAAACAAGAAAAACCTTCTTCAGGGTTTTCTCTCCTTCTAACTTTTAAATCCTGGATAAGCTTGTGTCGAAAAAAAACAGGAAACCTGGAAAAGCAGAATAACAGACACACGGTAAAATGATTTACTTGAAAATCTTTGGTTTTAAATGTTTTCAAATAACTTTGGAGATCTAAAATGACAAAGGAGAGATTTCAATCGAATCGAAATGTTCCCCCCTTTCTTCTTCCAAAGAAACAAAACGAAAGCCAGGAATTTGCAAGCAAAAAAAAGTACAATGACATGGGTTTTATGGAAAAGAATAAGGTGCTAAAGGCAATGAAATTTGAAAGGAAAAAGTTTGACGACAAACGGGGAATAGGTGGATTGAAATTGAGAAAGTTGTAAGGATGCATTCCATTCTCTGAATTTCGCTTAAATTGTCATCAGAAACTTTTTGCAAGATTCTAGAATTCACTGAAATATTTTAAGTCTATGACTTTTTTTTTCTAATCAAACTTTCACAAAGAGATCGACCTACTTAACTGGATGATAAAGTGATGAACAATATGGTGAACATGATGCAAAAAAAATGATATCAAGCAGTAAAGCAAAGCAAATATAATAATCAAGTGGGCAGTGGTGATCAAAGGGAAAAGAAAAGCAATGAAGGGGAAATGACTGAACATTGAACAGAGAGAGGGTGTCCTGTTCTGTTCCGTTCTGTTCTGTGTTCCATACCCACTCGATTTTATGTGTGTTGGGGTCAAAGGTAAGAAAAATACGTTTTTGTTACCCACTAACACATACATTCCAATCTATTCAGGCATGCCGAGGTTCCACCTGGGGCAAAACCGTGTCAAATTAAAGGAATTCATAGTTTTGAGGACAGGGCAAACACTTTGAGAACTTTTTTGTTTGTTAGAACTGATTGTTAGAACTTCGATGGTTTGATTCTTGGTTTGCTAGAAGTGTTTTGTAGCAACAAGTCCTTTTAAGTACTGCTGAACTTACACCATTGTGGTGCAAGCTTTATGATCAACTTTTCCGGGCAAGCTGATGTTGACAATTCAAATAGACTATTTGAAAGTGAGTAGAAATTTTTGAATCGAATTTCACCCAAAAAATCCTTTCTTATAATTAGCTTTTTTAGACAAAATAAACGAAAAAACGTCTCCCGGGTGGCGATTAATGAAGCAAAAGAGTAATCAGGCAATCGACCGCCGCGTGACCTGACATAAAAATGAAACGAAAAAAAGACGAAAAACACCGAAATTCTTTAGTGTCTCGCGTGAAGAGCAAAGATGACGAAAAAGTGGAAATTTTTGTGGAATGCTTTAAAATAAACACTTTTTTACACAATTCGTTGGGTGGATATCTAAAAGAGCTGCAATTAGCATTGTATAAAATAAGAATGAAAGCGACTACTAGGGTTCTATAAGTTTTAAAATAACTTTGAAATAACAGCATATGTGTTGGAATGAAAATGTGGAAAATGCTCTGAGCAATCGGGTGCACTTTTCGAGGAAATCGCGGCCAAAGGAGGGGTCGGCCTTGTGATAACAGTGAGGCTTTTCATTGCGGGAAGAGAAGGCAGACAGGTCTTGGAATTGGAGGAAAGAAAATGAAAAGGTTTAAGTTATTTGGTGATGTGATTGAACTCTTAAGGTAGATTTGGATTAGCTAGAATATGAAAGTAAGACGGTAGAATTTTTTAAGTAAATTCTCAAGATCTAATTTTCATGTTGTGCCTTTACAGCCGTACAACAATTTACAAGTACCAGGCTTCTTGTTGTACATTGATGGCTCTTGTGTTTGACACAATTTCCTATTATGATTGGTACAACAACAGCAAACTGTATAGAAGGTGAGTAAAAAGAGAGGAGCCATCAATGGAAAAGAGTGTTTCTATTGACGGAGTGACAGTCAATTGAGTGAAAGGAGAGAGGGTCGGGGGTCGAGAGTGCCGTCCATGATTGAGAGGATGGCTATGAAGGGAATGATGGGGAGGAGTGAGGCTATTTCCCGAGCAATGCGCAGAAAAACTCTCTTACTTGGCCTTTCAACTTTTCCAAGTGTGAATATCATCTTTTTAAAACCCAATCAAAAATGATTAACAAACTCAACATACCACACTTTTCTAACACAATATAGGAAATCTGATAGGAACTCGAATTTCATACCATCAATTATCAAAAGAAAGACGTTTATCGTTACAGTGTAGGAAATGAAATGATGTGTGAAGGACAATTGTTGTGTGTGGATTTGGAAAGAGAATGGTCACTCTTCCTGTTGCAATGAAATGAAACGTCGAAAAATTGACGGCAAGCAAACAAACAGCGAATCGAAGGACGACCATTTTTGGGGAAAAAATGGAAAGGATACCCCCGTATATCGAATCAAATAAATGGGGAGAGTCAAGTTTTTTTTGAGTTTTGCCTCATTTATGCTCTAATCGCAGGGAGCCGGCCATCATTCATGGTTGAATGGTTATCGTTTAAGACTCAAAAAAGAATTACGCTCGAAATACTCTAGAAGTAACAAATTTGCAAAGGGAAGCATCGTTTTCACCAACTCTTTTTCTCCCCAGGGCATCTACACTACTGGACAATGAAATATCATATTTGAAAAACGATCGTCACTTTCGCGCGTCTGTAACTCCCTTTTCTTTACCGTATTTCTAAATATTAATACTACCATTGTGTAGCCATTGAAAAGAGCTTTCAGAAAATGTATAACACTAATAGTTTAAACTCAAAGACAAGGGAGTTACAGACGCGCGAAAGTGACGATCGTTTTTCATATTTCATTGTCCAGTACTGTACTTATGTTATTTAGTTGAATATCATTTGGCATAGAAAATTTTACATTAACATAATTTACGTTTATTTAAAGACCTCCATTCTTAAATTTTACTGTTTTTCATCGATGCACTTTGTCAAATGTGGATCGACATCGTGTTTTGCATCTTTCTCTTCTTGTTGGTGTTTATTTTTGTTACTATAAATACTAACGTAGATAGGTAATCAATTCTTGATTCAGGGTCGCCCCATCGTCGCAATTCGCCTGCCCGACACTTTCCGATACACAATTTTGTCAGGCCGACGTTTGTCTTTTCGCCTCAAATCAAACTGATGAGGTAATTTTGATTTAGCATATTCACTCTAACTTTTTCTCATTTTAGGGAACCGTTCAATGGGCTGGCTGTCACTCGCCGCCAGAAGCCCTCAATTTTCCGGTGAAAGGCTGCGTTGAAGCGCTTGAGAAGGGCATATCAAACATATGCTTGCAAAAAGGTTTTTCCAGTATTGAATTATTTGCGTTAGACTAGCAGACAATCTATGGATGGGTAGAGTTAATCTTTTCTTTTAGGTAAAATACATTTTTGTTGTTGTCAGGGTGAACACTGCAATATCGACCTCATCAAAGAGTAAGCTTTATGCCATTTTGATTGATTGTCTTTTTTTTTATAGGTTCATATTCGACATTGGACTCTGGGATTTAGTTCGATTGATTGGCGGCTTATCGATCGTTCTTACAGTGAATGAATGTCATGCTAGTTTATTTAATTGATATGTTTTAGGTTTTCTTGTTTTGCGCGGTGGTCGGTTTTATCTGCAAGCGCTACTTCACAAGAACGTCGGATCAATCCATGCCAAAAGTTCGAAAAGCCTTGATCATCGTTTATGGAATTCAAGTAAACCCTATTCTGAGCACTTTTTAAGATTTGCTCCTAGATATTCATCGTTTCTATCTGCTGGTGTTTACACCTTATCCCGTTGCCTTCCAAATGCCCCGAGCATCCAAATGGACGGATATCTAGTAATTATTTAATATTCAACTTGTAGTTTTGCAAGTTTAGTTCCAATCGGTTCACTTTTTGTGTCAACACATTCATTGTTGATTGCAATTATTTTCTGGGCTGACATTGCTTACATTTTGGTAAAAGCTCGACATCTAGCGACTATGGTGAACAAAAATTGTTGTAAAACAAAAAACATTTCACGTCTAGAAAAAGAAAACTATGCGCCCGTTGACCCATTGGATCGATCAAACAGTGATCGTTGTTGCATTCAACATGTTGATGGTAAAAATGACATTTTTATTACCTATTAATATTTACTTTAGAGTATTCCAATTGCTATCCACTATTATTCGTCAACCACGAAGAGCAAAAAGTACTGTACTAATGATGTTTCCGATTGGTTCCTTGCGGTAAAACTTTTAGAAATATTCTAAAATGAGAATTTAGAGCCATTCATCTCTTATAGCTTTTGTGTTGCTCATGGATGTGTACCTTGCGCTATTTATTGCGATTCTTGAATGCAAAAAACGAAACAAAGTAAGGATTTTGCTTAATTTTAGTTTTCGATTAAATTTAGATCGAAGCAATCGAAACAGGGACGTCGAGTATCGCTGAAAAAACAGAAAAGTAAAGTTGCAAAAAAAGCTGTTTGCAAGAATCATCCCTTTAAGCACTATGCTCACGACAGCGCAACGTATGACGAGTCACGACGAGCTTATTGTTGAACCGCGGGTAAATGGTTGACTTATCGAAAAATTAAAATATGCTTTAGCCTTTTTGGTTGTCATCTAAAGGCGAAGGTGTCCTTGCTATCACGAATAACACCACTTTGCAATGGTTAGCTGTTCGGGTACTCATTTCTTCTCCGACTTACTACCGAATTTCTCCAAAACATCTTCTACTGCCTCCACAGCGAAAAGCAACGGTTAATTTTGTTACCCAATCTAAAAAAAAATTTCTTTAGGTTGAGGTATCAATGAAGCTGGTGGAACAGAAGTCAATGAAAGAACACGCGATTATGGTAGAATGGTTTGATGTTGGAAGGTAAATTTGTGATTCTCTGGCTACGGCAAAGATTTAGTAATTACCTATCGTCTGATCCCGCCATTATGTGGCAACGACCGTACAAAGCTCCTCCTTTAAAATGGTAGTGATTTTCATTGATGCCAAATCTCTGTATGGTAACGTTTAGGTCTCATCAAATTTTTTCAATCTTTTATGAACCGCAAAGCGCTTCCGGGAAAGATTTGTGTGTCACCTTTTTGCCGCCGAAGCAACAATAAAATTTAGGTTGTCTCACCCGGTCGACGAACGTTTCCTTTTCTCGACGAGGCCGCAGCAAACAACAATATAAGGAGTTTTTATCGAAGAACTCAAATGATAATAAGTTAAAAAGAATGTACAAAGGTGTCAATTTAATAAACCTGTTTCAATGACTGACCGATGAATAAAATGCACATTGTATTTAATAAACCGGGAATAAGACATTAACGCGTGTAATTGATGATAAAAAACTTCGAGAAAACATAATGATTAACTTTCCATTTGACATGAGCTTTGTAAAATTTGTCGATGAGTAGATCACTCCTCATCCTCAGCGCTGAAGTTGCATGGAATCGCACCTTGTTGTTTTTTACGAAGCAGGGCAGCTGGTCCGGATTGAGCTTTGCGACGTGGATCCTTTCCAAATAACTAAACAATTAATTATTAATTGTAATGTATAGCCATATTGATTTTTTTTCTCTACATTGAGATGGAGCAGTTTTGTGCAACACATTCATTCGAATAAAATAAATAAATCAAATTCTCACCTTAGATGTACAGGGACTAAGCATTGAATCCGATGGACTGCTGACGTGTTTCTTTTGAAGTTCGGCTTGTTGTTCGCGACGCATTCGAACCGCTTCTGGAGTTTCCACTTTTACACTCTAAAAAGAAAATTGTCATAAATCAGAGATAAGACTGTAGACTACGAGCTGTGCTACCACGTTTGGTTTGTTTTAAAATAGCTTGCTTCGAAGTCTAGGTTAAAGCTCTGCTTTGAAATACCCAGTTACCAAACTGGCTAGTATAAACATTCCCCCAAGCATAGTAGCAATAAAATTAGTCATTAGTGAACTTACAGGCATCTTCTCGGCACTGATCATGAGGTTTTCTTTCTTTTCTTCAAAGTCTTCCTAAAGTAGCAAATTTAGTAGAATTGAATCGAAAAATACCTCAACTTTATCGTTTGGTGTCACAGCCATTTGCATGTCGGAGTTGATCCAAGAATCGCCAATTTTCTCGTTTGGAGTCTTCGGGACCTCGTTTGATGAATGAGTGGCGCTTGTGGGCGATGTTTGGTTTTCCATTTCTGTCGAGTCTATCTAAATCAGCAAAATCAATCCGTAAATGTCAAAAACACTGATAAAAGATAAAAGAGTTAAAAATGGGAAAGACTTGATTCAAATTTTCGCAATGAAACAAAAATTTGAGAGTGGCGGGTTTGTGAGACATGTGAGGATACGGTAGTTTAGTGCCAAATAAGTTTTCATCGCTGCAAACAATTTATATTTAACTGTGATGTGTAGGATTTTGTGGAAATATAAAAGTGGCGAAACGTTGCACAATTTTTTTTGATTGTGCTTTGAAATGGTGATAAAATTTGGCTACCTAGAACTTTCAGAAACGTTAAACAATTTCGTTATTACGGGCGTTGTTGACCAAATTCTAAAACCGACTATGAGATTCGAGTACATTTGAAACTTTATGTCTATCCATTTACGTGACATTGACGGAAATCAGGTTATCGTCAAAAAACGTCGTCAAGCGCACAAAATCGTGATTCTCCCCGAGGCACTAAACCCATGTGAATCCAATTAGCAACGCACTTTTTTGTGCAGAGCATTTTGGGAGGCGGTGGAAAACAAAAAGTGTTTCGAACCACAAAAACGGGCTGCTGCATTTTTTTTACACGCATATTGTGTTTGAAGTTTTGAGAGTTCCAGATGAGAATTGCCTACCGTGTCTATTTGGTCACTGAAATGGCCGATTCGACCACAACAATGTGAGTTTGCTAAGTACCATTCCCTAATGCATACTAATCAAAAGTTTTGAGATATTCAGCTAAGTTGTCTTGGCATTTCTCAAGCAAAACCTTGCTCAAAGGTCAACAATCTTTTGATTCAAGTTTTTATTACAACCATTCCGATTCACACCTCTCAATTACACAAAGTCTATAAATTGATGGTGGTTTCAGGGAAGAGAAAAAGAAACGTAAACATTTGTGGATGGATTGAGATCATCTTTTTTTTCAAGAAAAACCAACTGCCAAACTTTTTTCCTATAAATTTCACCCCATTAACGGAATTAGTGATGTGTTGCTTGAAGAGGAAATCCCTCTGAAATCCTCCCTTTGCTTCCCCCTGTTGGCCCTATCAATCATTTTCAATTAGACAGCCGCCTAAAAGTCCTCATCCTATTCGATTCACTTCATTGCATTTGTGTTTCATTAAATATTTATGATTTTTTGAAATCTTGAATCTTGAATCTTGATGGTTGGGTTGAGATTGGAAGTCTCAGCCTCAATACCGTAATCCGTAATTACACTCAATACCGTAATCCAGCCAATGTAGACTGAATACCTTATTCTAAGCTGAATACCCAATCTACACCAAATACCGTAATCCAGCTAAAGTAGACTGAATACCTTATTCTAAGTGAGTATCACACTTTGGTTTTGCGGGATCCCGTTTACTTAGCAGTAGCTCATTGTCAAAAAACTATTGTAGAATACAATACCAATACAATGGTGAGGTTTTTGTAAATTAAGAACGAGGTAAGTCAAAGTGTAAGTCTTACTGATGAACGATCAGTCTTTTCGCTCCGTTAGTTCTTTAAAATTTCTGTTTTATGTATTGAATTTACTGCGTCAACGATCAATACGATATATTTGATAACTCGTTGTCTTTACCAGTGTGAACATCATTGATGTGCTTGTTCAACGGAAAGAGAAGGTGCTCAATTGTTGAGGTGATCAACGGAAAGACGAAGAGAATAAAAGTGGTTCTCGTATTGTGATCGATGGAGTGCCATCACAAAGATGGGCCAGGAATCAAGAGAATCAAAAGGATCTCCTCCCCGAGAAGTGTTTTCAATCTCTTTTCCTCATTCAATGACTTGGAGGACAAACCTCGCAATTCATCACTTTCCACTCCTTTTCTCAAGACTCTCGATTCTTTTCAAAAAGCTCACAACATACAACAAATCCCTGATGGAGAAGGGAAGCCTTTGAACTTTTGCCTCTTTTGCTTTTTGCATTTCAATGTACGATTCAAGTGTTTATGCCAGAGTGTTATCTTTTCCATTATTCCATTTTCTCTAGTATGTCCCTCTAGGCAAGCTAGGCAAGCTTGCAATTCTGTTAAAAGAACTGTCAAAGATGGGATGATCAGTTTCCATATCTAACTATAGTACCAGATTCGAAATGCAGAAATAGTAAATCCACTGGACTGGATGTTTTCTGTCTGTAGTCCTATTGTGACTACGGTATTTATTCCTACGGTAACTATAAGAACTTTTAATGCATCCAAATGCCCTGTTGCTATTGCGCTTCATTATTTAAGACCACCTCGAAACAGTTCACTTGTTTCACTTTCATTCAATCTCCCTGCCTCAACTCATCCATCCATGTGCTCGTTGCTCGGAATTCAATTTCCCGAGAGCCTCTTGAAAAAGAAACTCAAGAGGGAAAACTCTGTTATTTTTTTCAGTGACAACATTTTCTGGAGAGAACTGGTGTATCTCGGTATATCCATTTACATCTTTCATATCAATAAGGAAATTCTCTCAAAAAAGTAGCATAGAATACTCTTACTATTATCCGTATTTTTCGTTTATCTTCTTTCCGTGTGAGTATTTGCTTGCTTGGCTCTTTTTTTCTTTTCATCTACTGATTCTCCCAAAAAATATTGCTTTTTCGTGGATTTATTACCAAAAAGGGAAACGGGGATTTTTTTGCATAATCTTCTCATAAAATGAGCAACTTTTTCTTTGGAATATCAATTTTTTCTAAAAAATTCTTTTTCAGGATGAGTCGATCATCGACCGGCAAACTGGCAACATCAAATGAGGCTTATGATGATTATTTTGTCGATTATAAATCAAGTGAGCTTTGTATATAGAAGTTAAAATTTAGAAAATCATTAAAGCAATGATATTGAAAAGTACTTCTACAAGTTTTATTCCTATTTTGAGTTGATTTTGAGTATTTTGTTGTCAAGATCAAACCATATTATATTCAAAAATTATCCCGTTCAACCCAAGGACTATTCAAAATTTTACGCATTTCCTCAAAATGAACATTGTCGGCATTTCACCTTTACAAATGCTAATCGCTCTCCGATTGAATATTTCCGAATTCGCCGACCGGGTGATGTGAAAAAAGGCTCGGGGATACGGGAAGGGAAATGAAAAAGGATAGCAACGGGTGGTTCAATCCGGTGAAAGATCTGCTCACCTTTCAAACGTTTCACACCTCTCTACTGATTTCTGTAGTCAAAGCATACTCACACATTCGCGCTTTCCTTTGATTTGCCTCACACTAAGCAATCTTGAGAAATCTTTCTATACTTTTATGCACTTTTTCCCCTATTCCCTATCCCTATTCAAATGTCAATGTCATTACTACATTGGCACACTAGAAAAATCGTAGAATGATTGATTTTGATTAGGCATTTATCTAGCATAGATAATAAACAAAACTCTCATCTACACTTAAAGCTTTCAGACGATATCTAACTTTAATAAGGTAGATTTCTAATAAAATGAAAGCCAATCGATTTGCTGACTCCAAAAATTCCTGGGTACAAATTTACAGCTGAATATTTGCTCAAATTTGGTTCTATTTTAAATTCCGTTAATCAAAATTAGGTGAAATACTTAAGGTTAAAAACGACTTGCAAAGCTGAAGCTGAATTTCTTAAAAACTTTCATTTTCTGATCACACATTCATTGCTCCCAGCTTTTCCTTTTGTTAAAGCTGAAGGGGGTGTAAATATTTATCTTTATTCATCACCCTTTTTCAAGCACGAGTCACTGATTCCCTGAAAAGGGTCACAATTGGGCGATAGTTTTGATAAGCTTTTCGTTTCAACTTCTCGAGCCTCCCTCTTCCGAACCACGGGAGTGAACGGAAAACAATTAAACTCCCCCATTTTCACATTTTATTCCAAATTTTATTACACACCTCATTCCTTACCGTTGTTTATTTTACATAATCGTTATTTCATTAGATTGATCAAATAGGGGAAATTTCGGGAGAATTTTTGATAGGAGAAGTGTTTCGGTGAAATATTCAAGAGGAGTTCTTCGGAAAAGAGCTGAATCTTTGAGAGGATTGGAAAACGTTTTGATCCAGAGATACCTCTAGATCCGTATCTCATATAACATTTTCTAAAAATTGTTCAAAACTACTGTAATCTTAGCTCCAATTTGTGTCCGATCGATTTATTTTTGGTCAGATTCTATGAAGCCTTTTGAAGAACCTATTATCATCAGATATCAAAACTATTAGGTTGGAAAGAAAGTTCTCGGAAAAAGTTTGACTGGAGTTTCGTAAAAACGAATCCACCAATTCAAGAACATTTTGTTCTATTATTTACAAGTCGACTCCAAGAAATTACTCGTAAAAAAAATGAGTGCAGCTTTCCCTTAAAATGTTAGAGATTTTTGAAAAATTATTATTTTCCAGCTTTATTTTCAGCTCACTTTTTGCACCAGAAAAAGGATTCCTTATGAGGTAAAGCTAGCATAAATGAGCAATACGCTCTATAATCTCTATTTTTGGCCAACAAATTTTTTACAGAGAAACTGTATTTGAAAAAATCATTTTTTGGTGCCATCTTCTTGGCACTGAGTGTTTGCTAAAATAGGTGATTCTGAAAAGTTAAAGCATTAGATAAAATTTGCCTTTATCACAAATTTTCCCTATTTTAAGTACTTGATTTTAGGTTTAGAATGGAACCCATTGCCTATCCATTCACCCATTAAAAACTTGTCTAAAGGCTGGTCACTCAAAAAGTGACCAAGTCCCTTCAGCTGAAGAAATCTCTGATTTTTTTTACTTGAAGCCCACTCTGATCTTTTTGTCAAAAACTTTTTGAAATATAGTCAAGTTTATCAAAAAATCTGGGAAGAGTTCATGGCTTGGCTTTTGAGAAATCACCGTGCAAACTTTTGCTACGAACTTTCTTTTCCAACCTAATAAAAGCAAGATTATCGTGGTTTTCGTAAGTTGACCTGTTTTAGCTTCAAGTCAATGTTCTTCTATTAGTTCTATTTAAGAGTTCATTCTATTTAAAAGGCAAAGAAGCAATTGACATAGATTGAGAATCCATCTCACTTTTCGGTCTCTAAATCAACCCTTCTTCTCCAAATTCTCGGATTTCGAGTAAAGAGAAAAGAGAATAACGAAGGAAAACTTAGGCACTATTTTTCCGCTCACTTTTCAAGAAGATCTCCTTTTTTGGAGAGGAAAAAGCGGCTCCTTTCAAATTTTGCACCGGAGATTCTCCGGGAAATCCCCTCTCCTTCTTTTTACTTGGCTCAAAAGGCCACACACATTTCCCCTTCTCTCGTTTTTTTTTCTTTCATTTGCCCCTCAACACATCTGGCGATTCACCGTCGATCGCAGTAAATTTCTTTTCAACTTCTTCTCCAAATCGAAAAGCTTCAAAGGTATTTTTAGCTCATGCACACTTTGTGATACACTTTTAGTTTACAGAATTTTTTGGAATAGTCAGCTTTTCTTTGTTTTCCATCAAAAATCTCCTCAAAAAGTTGCCCAACTTTCACTTATCCACTCACCCCTTTTTTCCCTTTTCAGCTCATGCAATCCTACATATGATTTCTATGCAAATTTGAACAAAGAGGCGGAGTCACTCTCCCTTTTCCCCATGACAAGCCCAATGACAAGCCCCGCCTCCTCCCCTTTCCCCCCCTTTCTCACCCTTTCCCCCTTCTCAAACCCATCCCAACTTTGACCCTAAAGTGACTCTTACTCTTTCTCCTTTCAGCTACCTATATTATTCTGCTCATTCACTTATAAAATGATATGAATTTCGGCCTCTTTTTACTCTTACGTCTTCTTTTACTCAACTCTGTCCTCGCTTTTACACTACCAGGTTGGATAATGAGAGTTTTTAGTTGTTTTTAGTTGTTTAAATAGTTTGATTTTATTTTTATGATCATTTTTCAGTAATGGAAGAGGTGGTGATTGTCGAGGGTCCCTCTTCCGGCTACGTTGTCAAGAATCGACCGTATCCGTTAAAGTGCAAAGCGCTGAATGCGAAGAAGATTCGTTTCAAATGCAATTCGAAATGGGTGAGTTGAAGACAATTTTAAAATGACGATGTTTTCATTTGAGCTCGATTGTATCAATAAGTAGTCGGTATTCGAGGGGATGTTATTGGAGTGTGTATTTCATAGAGGAGTGTCAAGGTGTACCCAGCTGTCCTTGGGTGAATTGAAGAGGGCCCCCATCCTGCACTTCTAGACATGGGAACTGCAAATGGATAGTCAAGAGCCATTCGTAGATCTGTTTAGGGAATAACACTTAGAATTGTTGGGGAATGAAAGTGGATGGGTTTTTTTTGAAGGTATTTCGCGCTAAATGGTACAACTAGTGCAAAAGAGAAGCTCTGTTGAATATTAAACGTTTTTTTTCAGTTCAGTGGGCAAATTGAGCGATTTGGGGTTTCTTTTTTTTTAATCTTAATCCGTTCCAGAAAAAGAGATTCGTAATAATGTGCAAGTTGAGGGGGAAATATGGTGATTTCGGACAGAAAAGGAATGGTGCTCCCTAGGGAAACTGGGAAAACTTGTGAGGAAGCAAGAATCGACTTCTAACAAGACAACCACCATTCTTGATTCTGTTTTTAAGAAAATAACAATAGTTAAATTAAATAAATCTCCAAAAATTAGCAATAGCTAAATTGAAAAGATCTCCAAGATAGCTAGAGTTCTTTGGATGTCTGCTCTTACGCAATGGCAAGGGAGAACTGCATTGACAGCATTTGGGATTGACAAAGGATAAAAAAAAAGCCGCTTATTCTCTAGCCTTTTCTATGTATTTTTCGAATATCAACACATATACTATTTGGTTGATATTTGATTGAAATCAGTAATCGAAGCAAACCTCTCTTTTCCTTTTTCACAAAGAACGATCCCAAATGCAAATTTCGAGTGATCCCCCTCGGGAGAACTAGCGAAAGAAGGGGAAAACGGGGAAAAGAGAGAAAATCTCGCTGTCTGTTATTTCAATCAAAAGAGAAAATGATAACAGTGACCCCGAATGAATTCAATTAGAAATCCCCTATATTTCCCGCTCGATTTATTGCCCTGGTGCACCCGGTACAAGATCGGGGATCAAATCGAGAATTTATAGGGTAATTAGGCAGGGTAATAAGCTGCCGGGATGACCTGTGGCCCACTAATTTCGTCTTTCAAATTGTGTTGATTGAAAAAAAAAATCGAGGATTTAAAATATTTAGATTGATGAGTCACGAATCGAGAGTAAACTTGGAACGGACGCATCGAGTCAAATGGCTTTCATGGAGGCGCATGTCGAGATCACAAGGTTTGACAAAAAGTTGGCTAAATAAAACCAATAGAAAATACAAATTAGGTATCAATATAATCATTATCTAATTAAATATCAATATAATCATTATCTTATTAAACATCAATATAATCATTATCTACTCAAACATCAATATAATCATTATCTGCAAATTTAGAGCCGAAGTCGAAGCGGCTTTCCCGATGGAGGATTTTTCGTGTCAATGTTATGCAAGCCGTACCTCGGACTCCGATGTCGTTCGATCTGATTCCTCAAGGATTCGATCAGCTTGTAAGTCTAAAAAGCCAATATCCATTTTGAATTCAATATCTTTTCCATTTATTTTTTTTCATTTCTCCTGTCAATCAGCGAAACCCAAATGTTTCTCGAAATTGAAGAGAAAAGACCCAAAAAAAAATTGCTCGTAAAACCGTCCCCAATGGCGGCCAAAAGGTCAACCCATATTCCCAGGCATTGTTGGTTTAAGTTCATTTTTCCATTTCTTTTGATTTACGGTCAATTCTACGAGCTTCTTTATGTCTTCTTTATGTCTTCTTTATGTCATTTCAGTTCGTCTCTTCATCAAATCACCTCCCGTGTGCCTATGTTGCCGTTGGTGACTTTACACCCTTTCCAATCTCTTTTCCTTTTCTTTTCTTGTCTAAATCTTCGATCTCAGGTAGCTTGGGTGTTTTGGGAGGATAAAGACCCACTAAGAGATGGGGATTAGAAGGGAAGGGGTGCGCAAGAGGCGCCAACAATACCTCCATCAATTCCTTGGCGGCAACTGACTCCCCTTAGATTGAGGATTGGGTGGCTTTGTGAATGGCGATAAATTAACGAATTTTTGGTAGACGGGAAAACGGTTATCACCTGGATTGGATTTTATTCAAAATATTAATCTCAATCACAAGATAAACCATGTTTATCCGTTTTTAAGCTTTGAATATATCATCCCATAGCAATGAGATTTTACAAATCAGCATTCAAAGATCACCAAGAATCAATCTACTTCAACCTTGTCAATAAATTTTGCATAGCTTTCCAAGTCAATCTAATCACTTAACCATGTCAGCTATTGATTTACCCAATACCCCCGGGCACACAGGTGCCTATTTGTGCAATAATTGAGCCATCTACCCGATCTTGTTCACTCAATTTTGACACCCGTTCGATTCCCAAGTCATTCTCAAGTGATGAACTTCCATCATCCACTTATCAACTCTCTCATGTGCCCAAAACAAATCAGCTCATCCCTTTTCCCGTTGTCAGCTATCAATACCCAGTAAACATTGCTCAATCGTATCAATTTCCACATAGAGATTGCGTTAGGACTCCCATGATAGTAGAGGAGTAAGTGATAAATTGCGCAACGACGAATTTGCACATGTCAAATGGTAAAGATTAGCTGTGGTAAAGATTTTTAGTCTCTAAAACAGCTAAACCTATCGCCACCAAAATCATACAAACTTTTTCCCATAATAACCATCAATTATCGGTCTAATTTCAGAAAACAAGCCCCTTCTCGTTTCGCGTTTCCCTTTCTCATCCATGCTAGTCACACAGCCAGGTGCCTGGCACATTTTATTTCTTTCATGAATTGGTGTGACATTGGACTGTTCCCCACTTTCCCCCCGACATTTTGCCGCCATTCTCTTTCTTTTGTCTTTTACATACACAGCTGGCTCTCATGGCTGAAGGCTGACTTTTGAAGGCGAATTTTCGACTTGAGACTTCATAACACTGGTTACTTTATCCAAAAAAAAACGAAAACAGATGCTTGATTTTGCTAGTTAAGAAGCGTTGGGGTTTTTGAGGTGTAGAAAGAAAAGTTGACGCCTGAAGAGAAGAAAAAAAGGGACAACGATATGGGAATCGTTTCGGGGAATGCGCCAGATGGGTGAGAAAGAAGATGAGGGGATCCTGAGAACTTTGGAACTTTGGAACGTGTAAATTTGTTGAAGTTCTAAAGAATAGCAAACATAAAAAGCTCTAGTCTGACTATGAGTACAGATCTACCAGATAGTCCATTTTCTCTCCCAACACCACATAAAACGTTGTTAGTTTCACTTTTTTACTACTTTGGCAAGCCAGTTTATCGAGGCTTTTCTCGATTTTTGTAACTTTTCACAAAACAAGTTTTTTCTCTGCTGACTCGTTTTTTTTGTGACTCTTTCAGCTTTTTAACTGAACCAGTTCCATTGTGTTTTCTCTTTTTTAACGATTTCTCCTCAAAACCTAATGATTCCCAAATTTTATTGAACATAGATCCTAATCCCAGTTGGGAGAGCCCATAAAATGTGCGTCTCGAAGAAGATTCGGAGATCAAAAACTCGATCTTTCCCAATACCACAAGAATTCATTTGCTATCAAGCAATGAATATCAAGCAAAATGAATGATTTGACACGAGTGATAGGCAAGAGATTGAATCAAAGAATTTACATAAAGATCAGTTTGAAGAGAATGGGGAAATTGGGGGGAAAAAGGAGAAGAGCCCAGTTCCAGTCAACTTTGAGCAATGGCATCCATTGAGATTTATCGTTTGATGGCTGGATAGAGCAGCTGACTGGGACCCTAGCGTCTCTCTAATTCATTTAATGCGCTCAAGAAAGTTCACCAATTAGCTTATTGCTAAAGAAAAAGTTAATAAGTACTCATAAATTGATTTGAAGAGATAAAGATTTCGTAAAGTGGACAATCGTATATTTTTAAGCTCTATCACCTAGGGACTAAGTGACTCCAGCAACTAAATGTCTAAAAGAAACTAAATGCCATAATAGCTCTACTACTTCTTCTTGAACTCCTCTTTTGAGAAGAACATTCATTTTGGGATTAAAGTCTCACCTAGGCGGGCAACATCAAAGTCTTCTTCTTCTTCTTCTTCTTCTCAACCAACCTCTACCACCACAGGAGTTAGAGCAAAAAGCAATCAAATGCCCGTCTTTTGAGTGAATCCGTTTTCTTTTTTCTTTTTTCAGTCTTTTGAGCCATTCTCTTTTCTCTTCCAAAAATGAAGGTAAGGTTCCCCCCGCTGTGATCCATGTTCTCCACCTTGAAAGAGACAAGTCAAGGGATTACCTTACGGGAATCCAACTTTGACTTTCCCCTTTGCTTTCACTCATCTATCAAGGGGATTCACGAAAAGTGAGTAATGAGCGCTTTCGCAACAACGACACAACTATACGTTCATGTTCGAAATGAGGATTTAGATGTAAAGTGACAAGTTTGCAAGAAACTAGATTCAGGGAATTCAGAGTTTTTTTTGTAACAATTTTACTCATTAAGCTGTTGTTTTTTTGTTCAACTACATGCTTCAGTGAGCCCGGGGAAAACCTTGAGATTATCCGAGTGAATGGGGAAATCCGGCGGCAATCAAGATCATCTTTTGCCTTTTTGAGAATTGAAAAAGGGAACAGATAATTGGCGGTAAGAAGGAGGGAGCATCTGTCCCCTTTTTTTCCTTTCTTCTGTTCTTCTGGATTACTGTCGGTAAAACGTTTTGCCGGAAACTTGACCCCGACCTCTTTCTTCCATCATTTTTTCGGAACCCTTTACTCTTCTTATTGAAGGACTCGCAATTTGCCACTTCTTCACGCTTTTTAAGGAGTTCGAGTAGGGAGAAAGGGTAATTGTCATAAAGTTCCGCCAAAAATTGCAGTCTATTGATGCTCATATGCTTAAAATAAAGGGGGTTTTCAACATAATTTCTCAACTAAGAAGCTCTATAAGCTGAAGATTATAACATTATACTTTTAAAACAGTTTTTATACATCATAGAAGTCATAGTAACATCAGTCAACGGAACGAAAAGACTTTCTGGACAGCTTAATGGTCACCAGATTTAGCCATTCTTATCTAAATCGATAAAATAGCAAACAAACTACAGTAAAACGCTGCAAGATATTTAGCTTTTTTAATTACAGGGTGCGCCAAAAGTTCCCGTACTTGTATTTTCTGCATTTTTGGTAATTTTAGATAAAAGATACGATTTTAAAAGTAAGAAATTCTAATTCCTCGCGAAAAACTGCTTTAGAAAACGTTTCTGGTTAATTTATAAGTGCAACGCTATTTAAGACAAGTGATTGAGAAGAGGGGCCGCTCAGGGGCGCTTTGGTCGCACAGCTACAGGGCACAGTTACAGTTATTTCCTTTGATGGAAATTTGTATGGGAAAACCAAGTTCTAACCTGACTTCCGACTCGGTCGTTGACCAAAACTTTATAAACCCAATATAAAAAATGTCACATTTTATGTCTAGTTTTCGAAAAACATCTTGGCTCTTGAAAATCTTTTGATCCATAAAAGTTACAGGCCTGAAGTCCCAAAAAAAATGTGCGACCAAAGCGCCCCTGAGCGGACCCTCTTCTCAATCACTTGTCTTAAATAGCGTTGCACTTATAAATTAACCAGAAACGTTTTCTAAAGCAGTTTTTCGCGAGGAATTAGAATTTCTTACTTTTAAAATCGTATCTTTTATCTAAAATTACCAAAAATGCAGAAAATACAAGTACGGGAACTTTTGGCGCACCCTGTATTGCTCTAAACTTTAGCCCTCCAGCTATCCCTGTTCTCTCTATAAGTAGACTATGATGAGGAGAATGACCCGATACATGTCTATCTCTCTTGACCATCTCTATCAACCACCGATCTCCTTCATTGTCCATCAAAAAAAAGTTTCCCCCTTTTACACAACTGATATTTATTATTGTCACAGTCGGCGAGAAAGATAAGCAAACAAATAGGCAAAAGAAACGCGTAGAGATTGGCCGTGAGATCAGTCGTGAGATCAGTTCTGAAATTCTGAACTCTAATAAGTACTAACTACTTTTTAAGAACAATTGCAAAGCGAATCAATACAAAGGCTGTTCAAAGTACACCAGATTTTCCCAAGCCCTCGAATTCCCACCATTCATTTCCTCAAAGGCCATTCTCTTCCCAAATTTTGACCCTGGCACACGCAAGTTTTCTCATTCTTTGTTCGAAAACAAATCTCACAGAAACAAAAGATTCGCTCGCGTGAAATTCCCTCTAAATTTTGCCGCTGGCTTATTGATATAATGAGGTGTGTGGAAATCAAATAATCGGTGGCCAAATCTGACCTAAATCCCTTTCTTTGTCTTAGCACAATATTTCCCCAAGGCTCTGGGTTTTGTGTGTGTCAAATCTTGAGTGAGAGAGAGAGAGATAAAGATTGGCATGTTTATATAGGAGTAATCCAATGCAAATTTTGTGCACATTGTCAGCACATTGAGAGATGGATGAAATGGGGGAAATGCCGAGGGAACACCCCA